ATAAAAAAAAGATAAGAGTAATATTTGTAGCCTATAAAATTGTGCGTCGGAAATTTGTCTACCTAGCGATTATCAGAACATTGAAGGGAAAGAACAGAGAAGACAAGATGAATGCTTATTGTTATAGGCACCTGTGAAGCGTGTAAAGATTCCACTCCTACCAGCTTCTGGTGATAGGTATTTCCATCATCTTGGTCAAGATCAAGTTGCAAAGAGAACTCATAACGGTCATTAATCTACAAAATTAGTGGAAAGTTTCAGTTCAAAACAGTATGCCCTTAGTAAGGTAGTGATTATCTTGATCCATATTTAAAAAAAAAAGGAAACTATTCATTTATTATTGTTTTCTATACCAACCGAAGGGCAGGTATGAATAGTAAGGCCAGTAGAAAAGTAAAAATGGCATGATACTGATACCATTTCGATTTATAATAAAAACAGAATAATATTGACTACACTGGTTTTAGAACTCTTAACAGAACATGCCAAACGATTGTAGAACTCAAGATAACGATTATCATTCATAACATTCATTTGGGTATCCTAGGGTTAAACAAGAAGATGAACTAATGGCTTCTATACCTATAAAAAGAAAATGATTTAAATGTATTTGAAATGTGCATTCAGCACTAATAATGGAGGCTCTTGGACTGCAAATGACTTATAGATTAAATAGAACCACATAAAGCTAAGATGTTATAACTACTAACCTTGATCATTATGTCTCGCATAAAATCATATTCAGATCGTTTAAGCTGAAGTTGAAGAACTGGAGGGAAATCAATGAACAACACACCCTTCGTAGCATCCTGAAATAACATCATCCAAAATCAAAATGAAGTCATTTAAATGGGAAAAGATGTAACATGTAATCAGATACGATGTCCAACACAATACAAAAAGAAAAAATAAATTAATGTTTGGGTCAACAGAAACTGTGAAAGTCATTCAGATACTACAAAACACAACATTTTGCTACGTATCAAAATAAATTAAGGTATTCAAAGAAGTAAACCTATCAAAATAATTATTTTACTAGAAAAGAGTACCTTCTATGAGCTGGTCGTTGCCGGTCATATCATAGAGTGGCACAAACATTTCCCTTATCTTCTTGTTGAAAAAAAGAGTAATCAAGAAAATTTCAAGAATAACTAAATCAGAAACGAATCCATAGAGAAATCAGAATTGAAGAGAAAGGAAAGAAACCTTAAAGAAACTCTAAATGCATCAAATTAGTTAAAAAGAAAACAACTGAAAAGAAGAGAGAAAGATAGAAAGCGAGTAGAACGATGGGTGAAGGGGTATTGACAGCCATAGATACGGAATTGAGAGGTAAATGGAAAGATATGAAAATAAGGGAAGATTTCTTTTCATGTTTTGGAGGTATTCTAATTGTATGGGGACGAATTTATACTACTCCGAGGGAAGATTTTATACCGTTATAACATTAATTGAAGACTTGATAGAAGAAAGAAAAGTAGGCGCGTATTTTCGAAATATTTTTTTATATTTTTTTTTGTATTTTGTACCGTTATGACATTTGCATATGTGCAAATATAAAGTTAATATTTTTAGGAAAAAGAACAGTTGAATTCTATATTAGATATTGTCTTCCATTTATATAGGATTTAAAAGATTTTATACCAATTTCACATCTAATTAACACATGATAGTGACATTTGAATTACCATTTTTTGTTTAATGGCCCATAAATAATGATAAATAGGATATCTTTTCAATTTTACAAATGAATAAAAAAAGACGAAAGAAGAATCATCATGCTTTTACCTCTTTCTCTCCTCCCTCTTCAATGCTTTTGCAGTTCTTTCATGGGATTTTCTCTATTGAAAAGATAATCTTAATTGATTCTTTTTATTTGGGTATATAAATATAAAATATTATATTAATCTCATAAATTAACGTTCATATTTCCAACTCGAACTCACCTGGTTTATTCGTCTAACTGGAATCAAGGATAGACGTAGGCCAAACCCGCAAAGCTAGTTCCAGTGAGCCACTAACACACCGACAAGTAAAAACTCTGAAGGTTTTAGTCCGTTTTCCCTGAAACATCAGCACTTGGGTTGTTGTAGGAAGTCTCTAATGTCGAAGACAGAATACGTGAGCCCCGAAGGTCTCCGATTGGACGGTCGCCGTCCCATGGAAGTAATCTTTCCTTTCCTCTCTTCATTTTTCTTCTAATTTTTTACCCTTTTTTTCATTGGTTTTCTCTTTCTCAGATGAGACAACTTCGTGCAGAGATCGGTACCGTAGCCAAAGCTAATGGGTAGGCGCCGAAATCATAACTTGTTTTCCTTAGCTCCATATTTCCAATATCTATGATTCCCAGCTGTTTTTTTCCTCTCTTTTTTTCTTATTTTAATATTCACAGTTCTGCTGTTTTTGAGATGGGCAACACCAAAGTCATTGCAGCAGTGTATGGTCCTAGAGAGGTAACCTTTTGATTTAATGGTTTCCATGGGAATCTTCACATTGAGATTTCTTTTGTTTTTTTCTGAATTTGATTATCTGTTTTAGTTTAGTTGTTGGTTTGTTGTCGATGATGAATGTAACTCTGTTTTCCAGGTGCAAAATAGGAGCCAACAACTTAATGACCAGGCACTGGTAATGTTCTTCAAGTTGTATGTCTAATTGTTGTTGTTGTGACTTTAAACAATCTCTGGTTTATATATGTGAGGGGTATCAGGTGCGCTGTGAATACAGTATGGCTAATTTTAGTACCGGAGACCGAATGAGGAAACCAAAGGGTGACAGGTGAACTATTTTTCGATTTCCTTTTTCTTATAATGATGATAAAGTAAGACTACAGTGTGTTCAATCCGATAGAAGGAATATAGAATCTGATTTGTTTGTGGAACAGTAGATCAAGACACATAAATTATGTCCGTTTTCGTGTTTTTAAAGGCGTTCTAGTAGTATCAAGAGTGATATCTTTCATACGGAGATGTTAAAATTACAGAGTATTTATGCATGATATAATTGATTGAAACTAGGTTTGTGGAGAATAAATTATATTACTTGATGACACGGATCTTTCTTTCTACACTTAGGCGGTCAACGGAGATATCACTTGTCATCCGCCAGACCATGGAGGCGTGCATTTTGACTCATCTAATGCCTCGTTCTCAGGTTTGAATTATACCCTAATTATGTACCACAACTAGCATTGCTTTTCAGTTCTGAATTGTTCTTAATTACTCATATTTCTTTTACCGGATCGATATATTTGTTCAAGTTCTTCAAGCCGATGGAGGTAAAATGAAACGCATCCAAACTTCTTGTTGATCATTGGCTTAGTTTACATTTTCATATTATGCAACTGCAACTTTGTTCTCCACTCCAACCAACTTGTGTTTTAATGGCACCATTGCATAAATCGACCACATAGTTCTGTGCTTTTCCCTTATTTGTTTATTCTATTACCTGGTTCTCTCAGTATAAAAGGAAAAAGAAGCATAAGCATATTAAATGTATCTTCAGGAACTAGATCCGCGTGTATCAATGCTGCAACTTTAGCTCTCGCAGATGCTGGGATCCCAATGCGTGATATTGTCACTTCTTGCAGTGCTGGGTATCTAAATAGCACTCCCCTGCTAGGTCAATTGACTTCTTCTTCCTCTACTTTTTTTCCATTCGAATAGTTGAATTAATATTTGTTGTATATGCAGATTTGAACTATATTGAAGACAGTGCTGGAGGCCCCGATGTAACCGTAGGGATCTTGCCTAAGTTGGACAAAGTGACTCTACTTCAGGTTTTTGCTTGCTATGTCTCAGTTTCCTCATTCACTTTTTTTATTCGGGTTTGGTTTACATGAGACTATTGACTAAGCCAAAATATAGATGGAGGCTAAGTTACCAGTGGATATCTTCGAAAATGTCATGGGACTTGCGGTTGAAGGCTGCAAGGCTGTAGCAAACTACATTAAAGAAGTAAGGACATTCTTTTTATCTGTTGATTCCTCCATTTCTATTAAAATTTTCTTGTACATGACTTGTATGGTAACCACGCCTAGAAACATAAGATTAAACGTCGATTCCTTTGCTTGGCAGGTATTACTCGAGAATACCAAGCAACTGGAGTATCGACGAGGTCTATAAATCTATATTAGCAGTGTAAGAAAAATACGTAAGCGAGAGATGGCTGGTTAAGTGTCTGTTGTGTTTCAAGGCTGTATTGGCATTGAGATTAAACATGATTTTCAGAGCTGTTTTAAACTTTTTAAGACATTGTTGTGTCAAAGCCGTTGACCCCTTTTTCTTCAGTTATTTGTTTGGCCGCCATGTGATGGAGTGGTTCTTTCTTGTACAAAAAAGGAAAAAAAAAACAAAATTGTGTGGCTGCTGGGATTCGAGCCCAGGGCTCTACGGCCACAACGCTAAACTACAGCCACAAGTTGGTTAGATGATGGAGTTAGCAAATAACATACTTGCAAATAGGACAGGCAATGAGAAAGTGAAGCAAACAAACATATAAACTAGTAGGAAAAAGAAAAAGGGAAATTAGGGTAGCAATTGTATTTTTCTCAGATTATATCTTCAAACGCTTACCCATTGGCTTTAAACAAAAGGGGGATAAGGAGAGGAGACAAAAGTAAAGGGACCTGTCTGAAAAGGCATAAAGTGGAATCATATCTACACCCTAAACGCTGCCTCAGATAGTCCAAGACTCTTGGTATTAGGGTACACGGTTGGATAATTTTTTTGTGTTGAATTTTCAACCATGTAACAGTCACCAACTTATTTTGTCAAAGTTCTCTGGCCATCAACGTCCATTCGATCAATTCAAGCATAAGTGTTCAAATTGTATAATCACATGGGTGTCGGCCTAATCGACCCCATTCGTCCAGAGAACCCGTATGAATAACAATGATCCATGCAAAATCTACTTGTTTTCTTAAATATTATTTGAAAATATCACTTTATAGACCTTTTTGACTTATTTTATTACAAGATGATTTCAGGGATTAACGACTTATTTCATGACTTTCTATAGGAAAATGGAAGGTTGAATTCCCTGTAATCGTGTAGGAAAATGGAGATTCAACTCACTCTCACTCGAAGTTAACCACTTCATTGTCCTCTGTTCCGCCATTGTTGCGTCCTTATCCATTTTCTGAACCTTAAACCCAGATATTTCACGTTCACAAAGCTCCATTTTTAAATCTTTTAACGCAACTTAAAGTTTCAAATTGGCTTTGTCTAATAGATGTTGTGGAAGGATGAGGATGATGCTTTGCTAAAGCAGGCCCTTGCATTGTCAATGAATATCCCTGGATCTGATTCTTCTGTTGGTGATGCTGAGATGTCTGAGGCTACTAATGATCAGGAATTGGCCATGGGTATGTCCTGTTATTTGTTTGTTGTCTTAACATATCTAGAGGTATGCTTATCAAGCTACTTAGCTGATTTTCAAAGGAGAAACTGGTCACATATTCTTTTCTTTCTGAAGATTTACAAAATGCTTTTATAGTTTCTGTGTCATATGGATGGTCTGCACAACTGTGGCAGCCACGTCGGTCTCAAATTTTATTATCTTGCTAAGTCCTACCAATCAAGTATCACCAAAGAACTAAACATGCTAGGTTTAGTGCACAAGTTTTTCACATTCTTTTAGATTTAATGCAAGGGTAGTAGTTATATAAGCCTTATGTTAATCTGCATTGGATCTTTATCTGGTTTAAGATATGCTCGACTCCAAAGTAGGCATGTAAATGAACCGAACGTTCAGTGAACCATTCGGCAGGAAGTTCATCTATGTTTGTTTATTTATTAAACGAACGAATATGAACAAGATTTTATGTTTGTTTAATTAAATGAACGAATACGAACAAATGGCTCATTCGTTCATTTATGTTCGAGAATGTTTGATAATTTGTTCGCTTATGTTCGTTCGTTTATATTCAACCCAATCTCCAAATCCGTTTATAAGATTAAGACATAATAAATTTTAACCTTAAACTCGTTAATATTTTAAAACCCAAATAAAAAATACCCAAATCAATTAAAGAAAATATAAAGCCTAAAATTATTTGGAAAGAAAAAAACTTTTTTCAAATACAAACCCAATTAATTTTATGCTCGTTCATTTATGTCCATTTACATTCGTCCGTTTGTGTTACTTTATTAATTTAATGAACGAACATGAATGATCACCTGCACGAACAAGATACATTTCTTAACGAACGAACGCAAACAAGAAATTTCGTTTGTTTAATTGTTTGTGTTCGTTCGGCTAAAGTTAAACGAACTAACATGAACATGGCTCCGTTCGGTTCGTTTATATGCCTACTCCAAAGTCCTACTTGTAGTGATATAAATGCCAGCCAAATGCATGCATTGATGTGATCGAATTCTAAACTAAATAGCAAATGGTCTGTTTCTTGCATGCAGCACTTCAGATGTTCATGCTGAACGGTTCAATAGATCAATCAGAAGAGTCAGATGTCAGCAAGGTGTTGGGAGATCAGTCTTTTATGCCATCCATCATTTCATCAGTAAGTCCAGTCGAATTAGCCTTTTCAAAATTCACAATTGGTTTTTTCTTTGGTTGCCAGTATACTGATGTGCTATGACTCTTACGGCTTCTAGGAGTTGACCCAAATGTGAAAGATTTGCTATTTTCATTGCCAGCCCAGTCTGAGGTTTGATCCTAATCTACCTTCGAGTCGGCTGTTTTTATCTCGGTAAGGAGTTATGTTTCCTTTTTGTAGCCTTGAAGTCCTCGAAAGATGGAATATAGGTTTAATATCTTAACATTCATGTCCAATTCTACATCTGATTCAAAGGGAAAAAGCAAATAAGGAATTATTGGTTGGTGTTTTACTGCAAAGACTAGACCTGTTAATTATGATCCGAATTTTGAAACCCGAACCCGAAAACTCGATCAAACTAATTTGAGCCTAAATTCAGTTCAGGCACGAGTATAAGTGTTAGACATGGGTATGTCTTTCTTCCCATCCTCATCTAAATAGTTAGGTTTTAGCTTTTGTTATGGTACCAGTGCGGTACATCCAACCTGGTGCCAGTTTCTTTAACCTCTTAACAAATAGAGAAAGGTTAAAAATATGCCACCAGTCCCTGTAATTTAGCAAAGTTTGAGTTTTAATCCTTTTACTTTTCGGCTTACTAACATGCAGTATGTTAAAGTTGGCAAAATGTCAAAGACATGTCGAGTTGAAATACATGTAGGACGGACCAAAAAGGAGGCAGGCAAGACATTGTCCCCTTTGGGATAAAATGGATAAATTACAATTTAGTGTCTCAAAAATTAACAATTTCAAGTTACGAAGAATGATTGTTAGGCTGTTCCCCTACCTCAGTCAGCTACATATCCTTCAGACAAATTTATGGAAGAAGTCGAGCCATCATAGAGATGTGAAATATCGGGATTAATGTTTTGCCTTGAAATCTGTTTATGAAGGAAATAAAATAAACAAAGTTGGGTGACGGCCGGGCAAAGAGCCTGCATGGATTGCCGGTGGTTGGAGAGGTGCATGCATGCAATCCAAGCAAGGCATTTTTTTTTATAGTAAACCAAACTCCTTTTCTTACTAGTTGTTTGTTTGACCATTTTAGCCTTTGTCTACTTGCTTTAGGGGTCCCCCCCCCGATATTTTGATATCTTATAGTCATAAAACATATTTAAAAGTCCTTAGCCCTTAATCTAATTGCCTGTGTTTTCTTCTAATTTTTATCCCAAAATCCCCATGTTCAAAAATCCAATAACTCTAAAGTTAAATATCTATGGTTCGATCCAATAAATATCGAAAATTTCTTGGACACTAGCTTTTACGTAAAGAATACAGAGACAAGAGAGAGAGAGAGGCACAGTATCCCAGATGGGACCACTGTAGTTTTTTCCTACTTTGTTCTATGCTTTAGCTAAAACTTTTTCCCACTTTACATTCATCGAGAAATTAAGAAAAAAAGTTATCTGCATTTTCGTTTTAAACATAAGCTACTTTTGCATCTCTTCTTCCATTTCCTGCATTCATACCTTGAATTGTTAATCTGTTTCTGGAAATGTAAATATTAAAATTTGAAATTTAAATTTATCAGACTTATAAAATAATTGTGTGTTAACAGTTGATTATGTATTGGATTGTAATATTAAGCCATTATATATAAATGATGGTTAGGTCTGTAAACGAACCGAATGTTCAGCAAACGGTTCGTGAATTGTTCGGTGAGAAGTTCGTTTATGTTAGTTTATTTACTAAACGAACGAACATGAACAAGATTTTGTGTTCGTTTAATTAAATGAACGAACACGAACAGATGGTCCGTTCGTTCATTTGCGTTCATGAATGCTCGGTAATATGTTCATTTATGCTCGTTTATGTGCATTCATTTATGTTTAGCTCAATCTCACTAGGCTCGTTTAAAATATTAAAACACAATAAATTTTAATCTGATACCCATAAATATTTTAAAATTCAATTAATTTTAAATACAAATAAAAAATCTTAAAACAATTAAATAAAAATATAATCCTTAAATTGTTAGGAAAGGAAAAAATATATTTTCATTTATGTTCATTTACGTTTGTTTATGTTTATTTACTGTGTTCGTTTTACGTCTTTTATTTTGTTCGTTTATGTTCTTTTACATCCGTTCGTTTATGTTCGTTCATCTATGTTCGTTTATCATTTAAATGTACGAACATGAACGAACACGAACAAATTACATTTCTTAACGAATGAACACGAATAAAAAAATTTTGTTCGTTTTTGTTCGTGTTCATTCATTTGTTCAGTTAAACCTAAATGAACGAGCATGAACATACCCCGTTCGTATTCGTTTGGTTTGTTTACAAGCATAATGATGGTAGGTGATTTCAGTATAGAGCAAATATGGGTGGTGTTTAATATGTTATTTTACTTTGTTTTTAATGATTCAAATAATGGTGAACTATTTACATGACAGGTCTGGTGGCATTGATTGATTCATCAATTTAAGCACAATATATCTATAAATTAGATAATATGTTAAATCTCTTAATATTATGAATAAAATAAAGTTAGATTGAGAGGATCAATTTTATAATCACCCAATCCAATTGATCGATGAATAAATTAAATATTAATGATTATATTAAGAAAATCTCAATAAACCTTAAATGAGAATTTAATTTTCCAAAACAAGACTATTTACTCCACATAAGATAGCTATGGTATTAGACTGAGTTGTAAATAGTACTGAACTTTAGTGGCATTTCCAAAACGTATTTCTTTATAGAAAGGCCCATTGCAGCTTTCGATTCTCATCAACAACGCTTTTCAATTTTCAGCGACAAAAAAAGAGAGGAAAAAAAGGCGAAGTGTTGAGCTCACTCAAACGACTCTTCAACAATGGCTATGGCATTCAAGATGGTACATCTCATTTAGTTCTTTTGTCCTTTGTCTTAGTTTCCTTTTGATTTTAATTATACGTAATCGACTCGATCTCGATTCGACTTGATTTGGGTGTTCGGTGTTTTAGGCCACGACCGGGATGTGGGTGGCCGATGAGTGCAAGAACTCATTCATGGAGATGAAATGGAAGAAAGTGCATCGATACATAGTGTTCAAGATCGATGAAAAATCACGGCTGGTGACCGTGGATAAGGTCGGCGGCCCCGGTGAAAGCTACGATGATTTCGCAGCATCATTGCCCACCGACGATTGCCGATATGCCGTGTTTGATTTCGATTTCGTCACCGTTGATAATTGCCGGAAAAGCAAGATCTTCTTCATCGCATGGTTCGTTGCCTTTCTTATACACTTCGTCACTGGCTATTCTCTTTAGTAGAACACGAGTTGACTATTTTACCCTCTCTAAAATGAGTATTTCATTATTTATACAAGGGTAAAATGGAGATGGTGCATACAAAAGAGAATAATTGGCTTATTATTTTCCTGTCCTGAGTTTAAGAATCAAATAGTTGAGATTTTGAATAGTATTATTTGGGGGCAGGTATCAATAATGGGATAAAATGGGAATTAGAGCATCTCTATGCTTTAGGAAAATATTTTATTTTTAAATAAATTTTTAAAAGTTTTATAAATCTTGATTAATTCATAATCAAATTGAATCAGATCTTTAAATAGAGAGTAATTCTTTTATTGTAAATGGGAATAATTATTACAAAATATTCTCTGTCCCATTCAAATTATCTCTTATTAATCATTTTAATCAAATTATTTTAATTTTATTTTTTTTATTATTTAAAATTTATTATTAATAAAAATAAAAATAGTTTAAACTTTTAGACAATTAGTTTATAAATATACATTTTTATAAATTTTAATTATTTAAAATTGTCAAAATTTTAAAAAGTTAAAAAACATCAACTGATTCAAAAAAATATTGAATTTAACTATCAACGTTAATCAAATAGATAAATTGATAAAATTCTATAGTATAAAAATTTAATTGGATGAAAAATTAGGTTGATTATATATATTTTTTTCTTTTCAAAAGTTTAAAAACTTGTGACCCTTGTAAACCAAATTTTCAATTTTGGCAGTTTGTACATGGTCTATGGGGATAGGGATAGGGATGGGTCAGGTTTTGGCCAACCCTACTTGACCCGAAAATCTTATATCATTCCCAAAAAATATATATCATCCACCCGATCTGATTTTTTGAGAGAAAATCTAAAATCGACCCGACCCTAAATAATAAAAAATATTATTTTTATTCAATAAAAATAGCGACTTAATTGAAAAAAATAATATATAGATGGGTATTATTGTAATTATTTTTAAATATATAAGGTAAAATTATATTTTTTTTCCTGGGTCGGGTATGTATTTTTTACCCTAAACCTGAATCCGACCTAACTCAAACCTGAATTTTTTTAAAAAAAATCTAATCCGATCGGATTAAAACTCATCATATTCAGGTCATTACCCATCCTTAATGGTCTATTTGGATGGATTGATTAAATATGATTTTGAATGGTGATTGATGAGCTTTCACCAAGTCAACACCCCACCTTTTTCATTTCAATTTCTTCTATAAAACCAATGAGAAATTTGCATGCCCACCCACTGAATTGATGGTCCAAAAGCCATTTAAAAATAAAGATGGTGAAAATGGTTTTATTTGTCCATTCAGGTCCCCAACAGCATCAAGAATAAGGGCAAAAATGCTGTACGCAACATCAAAAGATGGGCTGAGGAGAGAGCTTGATGGCATCCACTATGAAGTACAAGCCACGGATCCCACCGAGATGGGGATGGATGTGATCAAGCATAAAGCTTATTAGGACACTCGTTATAGCTGTATAATCATCTTACTTGCTTACCTTTTCATTTTAATCACTCCAACATGTGCTCTTCTCTTCCCTTTTTATGATACATCTTTAACACTTGTGTAATCTCATCTCCAAAATTCTAATAACACTTTCATGGTCCATGTGTACTAATTTGAGGATAAAGTAGGTATCACATCCAACCTTTTCTTTTCTTTAATTATTATTTTAGATTTTTTTTTACAATTTATAAATTATTTTTAAACCTATTGAATGGTATATTGTTTTGGATCGAGTCCTTTTAAGTGAGGTGGAATTAAATTTTGATTATATATTAAATTTAGTTAAATCGGAGTGTTTGATCTTTTAATAAAATTTTGATTTAAAATTTAATATTATGAATATATATAAATAAATTAAAAGAGTCGTTAATTTGCCAGCTCATGACACCCAAAGCATAATGGCTTGGATTGGTGATTAGTCCTTGTCGGATGATGAATTTCAATTACGTTATCCAACAGATATACATACCCACATGGTAGTTACCAATTTTCTAGATTTTTTACATGTGTAAATAATGGTTTTAGTTATTAAATATTCAAACGTTATAAAAATATATCAAACTATTACAAAATAATCAACATTTTTTTATCGAAAGATCACAAAATCAACATTAAATTTATTGAACTTTTATACTTATTATAATATCATATCGACCATTTTATAATAATTCAATAAATTTAATGATATTTTATAATTTTTAAGAATATGAACAACGTCAGATTACAAGCCCTCGACCCTTCTAAAATGATAAATTTATTTTTAAACGATAACATTTTAAATTAATTCATAGATAAAATTATATTCCGGTCCTCATAATTGATAAAGTTTGTGAATTCTATGATATTAGAATCTTTATCTTTCGTTTTATATTTGCCTGGATTGTGACCTCTTAATTCTTTCTCATTAAATTTCGATACCATTCAAGCTCACGTACGTTGATCTTATAAAAATCCAAACATATTCATACTCATCTTATATTCCTCAATATCTTAAAGTCTGATCCAACATTGAATATAAGCAAACAACTAACATACAATTTAGATGCTAGACATGTATGTAGATTAACATGTATAATCTACTATATTAGCAAACAAAACTTACACAATTGTATTATGAATAATGATTTGATGTTTAAATAACTATAAAGGAATTATTCAAGTTTTAACAAATTAAATTATAGAAAATTACCTTCAACATAATATGATTAAGAACTGACTATTGATGTGATGATAAATAACTTGTATTATTTAAGATCTTTATATGCATCAAATATCGACTTTAAACTTAAATAAATCCTTCCTATTTTTTTTTATCGCCAAAATTTATCAAGCTGAAACGTATTGGGGCACTTTTATCAAACCTTTTTTTAAATTAAGTTGAATTATATGTATTAAAAATCAATTAACTATTAGTTCAAAATTGCTCTAATATTGAGAAACAGATCCCAATACGAAACGGCTGCATACCGAACAGTAAGCTCTCGTAGCTCAGTTGGTTAGAGCACCCGTTTAGTAAGCGGGAGGTCTTGAGTTCGACTCTCAACGAGAGCATAAAATTGTTTTATACCCTGTTTCTTCACGTCAATGGACGTCTCTCCAGTTTTCTTCGCTGTTCCTTCCTTTCATTTCGTTTCCAAAATCGTTTTCCATTGATCAAACGCTTAAAACCTTCATTTTCCGGTTATATTCTCAATTCCCCAGTCATTATTACTGGTACATCTCCGAGAACCCGATGGTGGTGAAGAAAGCCGGTGCTGATCTTTCGCCGGGTTGTGGTCTTGGATCAACTGCAGCGGATGCCTTAAAATCATATATTTTGTCGTAAGCTAATCCGACGGCCACCATTGATGTTAAGGGTACCGTCGTTGGTTGCAAGCCAGCGCAGGTTGTGGCTTCGTTTCCGAGGAGAGGACACTATGGTTCAAACCCTAAATTCTTAAACCCGATTACACATTTTATGTGCTATCGGTTATAACCCGAAGTCAGCGTATGGCGTTAGACGAGCGCCAGCGGCTTGTCCAAGGAAGAAGAAGCCATTGCCTGAAAATCTCAATTACTCTTCATCATTTGTTGTATTGTTTTCAACCAAACCAAGTGGTCCAACAAGCAAGAAGTTCATTAGGAGCGTGAGGTGGGGTAAATTCAGTTGACATTGTGCCAACATATGCCTCCTTTGCAGGCTTTAGAGCTAACTGGACCTGGTTTTGAATGAAGAATAGATTGAAAACCAGCAGCCCAATGCAGCTGATAAACACAATGCACAGCAAGAGAAGCGGAGTAAACAAGAAGAGTAATGGTAGGGAATCTCCCTTGTACACACAAAAGTTTAGTGAACTCCAACAAGATACTAGCAACCCATGACTCCACTTGGCTGCAACTGAATCCGATACCCTCATTACTGCTAAAATTTTCGCTAAGAAACGTATATGTGTTTGCATGAAGAAGCAAAACAACGTGGTTTACAACATTATATATATATATATCTATACACGTTGTCGCCATTAATGAGAGCGTTAGATTCGTGTGGATGAGGAGAGACGATTGAGTTGCTGCCAACTCTAAGCTTATGGTGCAATAGCCGCCGACTTTTTCACTTAGAAAAGGTGTGTGGAGGCACCTGAATCCAAGGCATCTCCACAAGACTTTTACCAAACTGTCTTGTTGGCCTTTTGTCTTGTCCCCCAAGTTCTTTCGGTCAAAATTAATCAAGAAATGGAAATCTAAGAACGCAAAAATTCCACAAAAGGTCCATATGTTATGTGTTTTTTGCTGATTAAATCTTTTTATTATAATTTAATCTTTTATATCCCCTCTATTTTATGCCATCTCTACAATTGATATTTATTTTTGTTAATCTATACTTGTTTTGAAATATTGAGCTATTATATTATATCGATAGACGTTTGCAATCACCAACGTTATGTCACAGTTGAATTATAATAAAGTCAATTTATCAACATGCTCTCATTATTATATGTATTTTTATATCAATGTTGATAATATTTTATCCTTTGACAATTGTGTTTGGTTATATATACATTGGTTGAGTTTTTAATCCTTTTAAGAAAAATGGTTGATTGATGTGAGTAGTGTACTCTAATTTTTATAAAATTTTCTTATTATTTTATTATATTTCCTCTTTATTCAAAAACAATTATTATTAATTAAGAATAATATATATAAATATATTCTCTAAAAGATAGAGGATTATAAATTATCAAATTCTAATAGGTAAAGTAAATTATAGACCACTGAATTATGTAAAAGATATTTTTTTATCGGTAATTTTTAAATATTGTAAAATAATTATTGAACTTTCACAATAATTATAAGATGGTTATTCAAATTTATCAAAATATTACAAAAAGTTATTCAATTTTATTGAAGTATTACAAAATGATCCTTAAACGTATCAAAATTTATTATTTTAATTTTGTAGGGACCATTTTGTAACTTTTTAGGAAGTTTAATGATCATTTAAGATATATGACTAAGAAAATCATTTTTACATAGTTCAGTGATCTCTAGTATGCTTTACCTAATTATAATGGAGAACTAAATCCATCCCAAAAGAAAAGTATAGGGACCTTTTACAGAGGTTGACCAAACTAAAACGAGAAAAATGAAGGTAAATGAAACGCCGTCGTTTTAAGTATTTTCATAGCACACACCGTCTTCTTGGATCTTGGCTTGTCCCCCAAGTTCTTACAGTTAAAAACACTCCTGTCTTCAACTTTTCCAATATCATCAGATCGCAAATCAATAACCAGACCAGAACAATAATCCCATCCTTAAAACAAAATCTCTGTCTTTTGTTCTTTAAAGGGTAACAAAGAAATTTAGAAGGAAAATTAAAGGGAAAAGACCTAATTTTTTGTTATTTAGAAAATATCCTAACAAAAAATGGCGAGATATGATCGGGCAATTACAGTATTCTCCCCTGATGGTCATTTATTCCAAGTGGAGTACGCACTCGAAGCCGTACGTAAAGGTAACGCAGCCGTCGGTGTCCGCGGCACCGATATCGTCGTCCTCGGCGTCGAGAAAAAATCTGCCGCCAAGCTCCAAGACTCCAGGTACGAGTTCCTCTTTCACACCATCTTGTCAAATTAGGGTTTTTATAGGTTAATCTATCGAATCGCCACTTTTGTATTAATGAGTTTTTCAAATTATATGCTTACCATGATTTATTTATTGTTTGTACTAACAGGAGTGTTAGAAAGATTGTGTCTTTGGATGATCATGTTGCTCTGGCTTGCGCGGGTTTAAAAGCCGATGCACGAGTCTTGATTAATAGGGCTCGAATCGAATGCCAGAGCCATAGGCTTACAGTTGAGGATCCTGTAACTGTTGAATATATAACACGATACATTGCTGGTCTGCAACAGAAGTATACACAGAGCGGTGGTGTTAGGCCATTCGGCCTTTCTACTTTGATCATCGGTTTTGATCCCTATACCGATGTTCCTTCTCTGTACCACACTGATCCATCTGGAACATTTTCGGCTTGGAAAGCTAATGCAACTGGGAGAAACTCTAATTCGATGAGGGAGTATCTGGAGAAAAATTATAAAGAAACTTCTGGACAAGAAACGGTGAAGTTAGCTATTCGCGCTTTGCTCGAAGTAAGTTTTCCTTTTCACTTGTACATGGATGGCTTTGGTTTAGTAGTTTTACATTAACGATAGAGATGCAATCTATGTTGGATTTGTTTGTCTCGAATGGATTGTGTGTTCTATTTGCTCCAGTTTTTTTGGTTGTATATATTGACAGGGAATGCTCTTTATATGCAAGGATGCTTGCAGGGCATCAGTGTTGTGTGTTTGTGTAGTGTTTCGTGTGTTTATTATGGTTTATAGAGGGATATTGAATTGGTCGTTACTGTTGATGTACAATTAGTGGGATGGAGGTTGGTGGTTTTTAATTGTGGTTCATCCCTTCGCGTTTGGTCAGAGAGCCGCTGGGAAAGGTCTTGGAGACATCGGTTGAGGGCGGCTCACCCCATTTGATTTGGGCGGAGATGCGGAGTTTTGCTGGGGGATGATGGTAATCGGAAATAGGGGCATGCGATAAACTTTCTCTCCTCGAGAAGGAAGAGGGAGAATTCTAGAGAGGAGATCCCCCCTTTCCAGTCACCGTCATTCCCTAACAGTTCTCTACCCAAACTCGAAGGGGTGAACCGCTGTCAAACACCACCAACCTCCATCTCACTAGTTGTACATCAACTTTTAACTATTTGAAACTATCTCGACTTGTTTCTTGCTAGAACTTATGAGACTACTGTTACTGTAACTTGATGTGGAGACATTTATAAGAAAGATAGTTAAAAACAAAATATTTTAAAGTTGAGCTGCAATCTAGAGCCTAGACTGCTATCAGGACTCATCCCGACGATGCAGTTCGGTGTCAAATGTAGTTCTGTCTGTTTAGTTGGTTACTTATGTTCGATTTCTCCACATACCTTTGATTTCCTTTTTTCTTTCTCTAACAATTAGGTTGTCGAGAGTGGTGGAAAGAACATAGAAGTAGCCGTGATGACCAAAGTGCATGGACTGCGGCAACTGGAAGAAGCTGAAATTGATGCAATTGTTGCCGAGATTGAAGCAGAGAAAGCAGCTGCAGAGGCTGCAAAGAAGGCCCCGGCCGCCCCTAAAGAAACCTAGCTTGATGTCTTGTATCTCCATGCCCCGGCTTCTGCTTGAAATGGTTTCGGTTATGTCGATTGGTTGGAGATGTTGAGTTTCAGCTACTTTCTAGACTTATGTTTTCTTCCTTTTAGTTATATTTTGTTATATGATGTAATTGTTCAACTCATGTTTGCACATTTTCATATATTATAATTTAAAGGGAAAAAAGCAACAACAAATTTTCTCTTTATTTCATTTCCAAACTTCTAAAATCCAAAAACCCAGATTTCAACCCTAAGAACTCATAACATTTACTGTTGCCATTGCTTCTAGAGCTACCATGAGCGGTAGCAGCAAAGTTGCAGCAAAGTTGCAGCAAGTGCAGTCTTTGCTGTTATTCACTCCCCGATTGTAAACAAAACAAAGAGTAGTCTTCCCTCCAGTTTGCATCGATGGCTCTGTCGGGGGACTAATTTTGAGGTCCAAATTCAAGACTGGGCACCTTTCTTCCACTGAGATTTTCTTCATATTCTCGTCTTTGTTGAGGAATAATTCATTAGGTTTATCTTTCTCAGCATCTTTAGCACCGGTGAATGAGATTGTGTGAATATCGTGGGCTGCTGCAGTCTCATTGAGCGGCCTGTGAGTCGAGGGGTCGATCCCTCGACCCAGTAGCTTCCTTCTTACATGCTTGTTCCAGTAATTCTTTATCTCATTGTCTGTTCTTCCCGGTAATCTTGCAGCTATAAGAGACCACCTATGTAAATAAAAATAAAAAGGGTAAAAAATCAAGCAGTATTTTTAAATATTTATATGTTAATTACATCATATGTCCTTAAACTAAGTTCTAGATTTTAAAGAAGTTTTCAAACTTTGAAGCATTCTATTTTGAGTCTTCATAATATCAATATCGTGTTTATCTAATCTTTTTATTGGTTTAATCGATGGTTTGAGCATTCTATTTAAACAACAGTTTGGGGACGTTTAATGTAATTAATCCAATATTTACATTACTGTATCCAGTGAAAGTCGAGGCAATTAAATGGAAAAAAGAGGTTACTTTTTACCAAGAAGACTATGGAGCTTGATAATGAGTCCTTCTTCTTCTTCAGTGAAGTTGCCACGTTTAAGGTCAGGTCTTAAGTAGTTGATCCACCGAAGTCTGCATTTTTTCCGCAGCGGAGGAGGCCGGCGGCTTTAGGGAGGGAGCGCAAGCAACCTTCGCCGTGGGCTCGGATGTAAGCTATGAGACGATCGTCTTCTTCCTTGGTCCATGCACCTTTGTTGGTGTGAGCTTTCTCACAGCAAGGAGACCTTCCCATTTGATTCCCAGTACTATACACCACAGAAAAAGAAAGCGAAAAATACACATTAAAGCAGCGGAAACTCTCTTGTTGCTATGCTGCTGTTCTTATATATGCAGGGATGGATCGAAGAGGCCGTTCTTAAATTCGAATATATATATATATATATATTTATTTATTTATTTATGAATAAATCTTTAAAATATTGTACTTTTATTTGAACCCCTAGACATCTATTTAATACAAAGTAATGAAATATAATTGTGAATCGAAATTATAGTTGACTCGTTGAAATCAATTATTGGTTGATATATTATTGTGCACTCCTTGAGGGATTAAAACATTTTTCATCCCCAACTTGCCCACCAAATAGTTGTGCTGTTGTATCCCAAGTGTTTTAGTTAAAATATCAGTAAGTTGTTCTGCAGATGTTACATACTCAGCTTTGATTAGTCCTTCTATCTTTTCTCTAACAAAATGGCAATCTATGTCAATGTGTTTTGTCCGTTCATGAAATACTGGATTTGCTTAAATTTGTAATGCTGCTTTGCTATCACTATACAGCTTTGCTGGCCTCAAAATATCATATTGCAGTTCCTTCAAAATGCCATTTAACCACACTATTTCAGCTGCAACCATTGTCATACTTCGATATTCAGCTTCTGCCGATGATCTTGCCACTATATTTTGTTTCTTTGATTTTCAGGATATCAAAGAATCACCTAACTTTATGTAAAATCCAGTAACTGATTTTCGTGACATAGGGCATGAAGCCCAGTCTGAATCACAGTATGCTGACAGCTGACTATTACATTTTTCTTCAACAATATCCCATGTCCTGGTTCCTTCTTCAAATACCTGACAATTCTCAATGCTGCCTCTAAATGTGTTTTCTTCGGTTGTTGCATAAACTGACTAAGATGATGAACAACAAATGTAATATTCGGCCGAGTATGTATTGAGTATATTAATCTTCCAATTAACCTTTGAAAAGTTGAGTTTTCTTCAACCAGTACTTCATCTTCCTTTTGCTGCAAATGTTATCATATTCTGTGGAGGTAAGCTTTAAATTTTGCTCTAAAAGGGTTAAGGCTGGCTTGACTCCTTCAAGACCAATCTCCTTTAGCAATTCTAAAGCATATTTCCTCTGATTCAACACAATCCCTTCTTCTGACCTTAAGACCTCAAGTCCTAAGAAGTATTTCAATTCTCTCAAATCTTTCATCTTAAAACTGCAATTTAACATGTCTTTAAACTCATTGATCAAGACTAAATCATTGCCAGTTAACAGAAGATCATCTACATAAATGAGTATTACCACCAATCTTTCACCCTCTTTTTTTGTGAACATCGAGTAATCAAACTTACTCTGCTGATATCCTGCCATTACCAATGCTTCAGTCAGCTTCAAATTCCACTGTCGTGAAGCTTGCTTCAAACCATAGAGAGATTTTTGCAGCCGACATACCATATTCTCCCCCTGGCTGCTAAAACCCTTAGGCAGCTTCATGTATATTTCCTCAAAGAGATCACCTTGCAGAAAAGCGTTATGCACGTCCATTTGAAAAAGAGGCCAGTCATTCATGGCAACAAGAGCAAGTACAGTCCTAACAGTGACTAATTTTGCTATAGGAGAAAACGTTTCAACAAAATCAACACCCTCCTTTTGATTGTAACCTTTAGCCACAAGACGTGATTTGAAACGCTCAACTGTACCATCAGCTTTATATTTGACACGGAAAACCCATTTACAACCAATGGGAATCACTCCTTGAGGCAAAGGCACTACAGACCAAATACCATTGACTAATGCTTGAATTTCTTCTTGCATGGTTTTAATCCAAACCGGGTTAGAAATAGCTTCATAATAGGATTGTGGTTCAATAATGGATGAAGTGGTAGCAAGAAAATGTTGTGTATGAACGGATAAATGATCAACTACGTGTCAAGACCTTTAACATCGTCATCCTTTTTACGGTCGATACGAAGCATGTGTACAAGAAAATTAGTATATAATTATTTTTGTGTACAAGAAAATTGAATATACAGATTCACGAGTGCGTTTGTGTTAAGAGAGAGAGATAAATATATACAAAACAAAATTTTGAATTAATATAAAATAAATAAATTCCCAGGTTTGGAAGGTGAAATATGATCCTATTACAAAATGTTAATGGTTCAGAAACTAGCTTTCGGCTGTCCAATGCCCAGAAATGGTTCTCAAGCTGAATTCAAACTAACTACACTGGACTTGGACAGCCAGTTTCTTCTTCATATTGGAACAAGCATCGTTTTGGTTGCCGAAATGCCCCTTGTCCACTGGAATCTTGCAATCCGGTTTTCCCAAGCAGAACTTCTCCACAACTTGTTTGGATACGGGGGACGTGCAATTCCCCAAAAAGAAGTTCCCACATGTCCCATAGGGATCTCCGAAGCTGGCGAATTGGACCGCGACGATCTTCTTCGAGTTTGGGCATGTTAGTCTTGCCTTCGGCTTCAAGTCATTCGACTTTGTCCGTAGGATACCTTTTACGCTCTTGAATAACCTCGGTGATGGCGTATTTTTTGTCGCTTACAAGACTGCAGACCGTGTCTCTGTCGACCAGTACGATCTCGATGTCGTTGGGATTGCCTCCCTCTTCCTCGAATATGACAATCATGTTCTTTGTTGGTTTTATGTATGACCTTGGGATATGGTAACTGAAAACACGACGCATAAATAACAGATTTAGCCGGGGATAGGGACCTAATGTGACTAACAGTATATGTATCGCAGTCTAGACGTACTAGGATTGAGTTGGCACTTTAAGAGCAGACAAGTAGGACATCCAGTATCGACCAATGCTTCTTCCATTGATCCACACCATGCCTTTGCTCATATTATTCATTCTAATGGCTACAGGGTTGTTTCCTTCAGGTGCATCAAAATATCCCTACAAAAACAACAGGTTAGAACATTGTTTTTAACGTTGAAATTCAATTCCCAGGATTTGTTTATTTATATTTTACCTTGTACCATGTTATAGGAGTTTTATCGCCGGTAGGAGTTACCCACTGTACTGATTGTGAGCCTTTCTCGGTGTATATTTGCTTCTTTTCTCCATCAATACCCACCAGGTTCTCCCAACCAATGTTCGATATATCGACTGTACCAGTGTTCAACCCAAGAATGGTGATCGAACGGGGCCCGGCGTACCTGCGCTCCAAGTAGGCACCGCTATCCTATAATTCAAAAAGAAGAAAAATTATCATCGGTATGCTTGTTTTAAGTTTCATTTAAGTTGCAATAAAGACTCACCTGAAGTCCCACAGTGTAACACGAGATGAATGGTATTTTTCCCAGTCTTAAAATTTGCATCTTTCTGATACACAAAGTTCTTCTCAACTTTGCTACCGTGTCCCAAACCTACGTATTCTCCATTCACGAAGACATAAACACCATGGCCTTCACTCGCGATCCGAAGTATCGGTCGGACTTCCTTTTTATATGGCATGTCACGTGCACTCAAACGACCGTGGTCGAGTACCAAGCGTAGTCAGTTGTATCTTTGGTCAAATGATAGAACTCCACCAGCCGGTAGGCCTTATTTTGGAATTGGCTCGGAAGAGCTTCCTTGAACATCTTCCACTCAATCTTGTTAGCAACGTTTGATCTTTCCATATTTCTTGAGTTATGTTGTGCTGTGATCTGTGTTAAACAATCAAATGATGTTTAACTGTGTCTAACGAGAATGTAAATGGAGATATCAGATCAGATGATATAAAAAGGGGTTCCGGAGTTGACCAAGTAAATGGAGAATGTTTAACTGTGATGAATCGAAAACAGAATCAATGATGTATAAAGGTTTTAGGGGAGAATTATAGTATTATCAATCAAACCTGAGCTACAATGATAGGTCATCCTTGAGAAGCAAACTTCTCCGCTTTCAATTTATCGACGATCATTGTAACAAACTTCTTCATGTAATGCTGCACAACATAAAAGAGTTTGTTATGGAAACTTTCGACTCACGGTTTGATCTCTGCTTATGTTAGATTACCTTGAACGGTTCGTTATCAGAACGGAATATTATGCCGGGAACCTCCCTTAGCCAGTAAGGCAGTCCTCTGAAAGGTCACCATGGTAACAGCTACTGTGTTAGGAATGTTTGACGCTATGTGGATTGAATAAGGATGTAAGAAAGTCTTTGAACCTTTACCCATGGTTCCATTCAGCCTGGACAAACGGACCAAGTCTCACGATGGCGAACATTTTATGCTTGGCGATCAACTTAATGAACTTCACCAAGTTATAATCTCCTTCGAAATTGTACTTCCCCTTCTCTGGCTCATGACCGTTCCAGAAAACGTATGTCTCAATCGAGTTGAGACCGCCACGTTTAGACTTGACAATGAGATCCTCCCAATTCTACACCCCAAATAGGTCAGCACAACATAGTAGCATCAGTCAAATGAAAAACATAATAGCACAACATACCTCTGGGGGGCAGCGAGGGTAATGAATGGAACCCGAAAAGACAAGCTCTCTTTTTCCGTTAATGATCAAAGACCGTCCGTCGTACGTGACGCCCGTTTCCGCATTCACAACCTTTACCTCTTCGGTTGCGCTGCCATCATCATCTTCTTCCTCCTCCTCCTCCTCTCCGCCATCGTTCTTATTATTGCCTTGTGCAAAAGTGGAAGTAATCAACAAGGTTGACAAGAAGGTTACGAAAAGGATGCGCTTTGATATCGACATTGCCTTGGTCGTTGTTCGTTATGCTACCAGTCCAAAATGATTTTTGTCGGACCGGAAATGTATATCTAGCAGACACTAGTCATTTGAACCGTATAAAAGGGGGAGCTCTACGGTTGCGAAGCTCCTTTAACAATCTACGTGAAACACACATCATAGATGACACAAGTAGAGTCTCAGGTGTTGCTTGAAACTTGGGATTTCTATTATGCCAGATCCCTATTTTTTAACCTTTCGGTACTAATCTGCTGCGAATTTCAAGGCATTTCTTCTCTGTTTCGGATGATTAACTATGAAGATCTTTGGCTTTGTATATGACTAAATTATCCCTTGTACAATATATTTAACCATTATACTAAATATGGATTAAATTACATTCATAAGAAAAAATCAAAATATTAATTAAAAACTAAACGCATAACTTTTACACGTGCAAGGATTAATAGTAGAATTTGATTAATAAATATTTTCTTAACGATAGTATATATATCTTATAAATATAATTATTTAAATTTATAATTTTAAAAAAAATATTTTTATTTTATTTAATCACTGAGTACGTTTCATATAATACTCTGTTTTTGATCCGTCCATTTCAGGTATTAAATTCACCATTTTATTACCTTTTCTGCGAAATTTAAAGAGAAAAAGTTCATATTTTTGTTCTCCTGTAAAAGATTTCACTTTCTTGGTACCCAATTCTCACTTTTCTTCTAATTCGTTATCAAGTCTTTCCGCCCTTCTTTTAAGCCGCCATTTATATTTTGGGGTTTCGAATGGTCGAATCTGTGGTAATACTACTGCTCTTTCTTCCATTATTTGCTTTGGTTTCTCGTTGAACCTTAAATTTTATCGAACTGTTCGGGCCATCCTAGGTTGTTCAATCTGAGTAAGACTTTTTTCCCTTTATTTTTATTGTTGTTGTTGCAATTTGGTAATTGGACACAAATTATTATCTGGTTCAGGTTCAAAATCGAACATTTATCTATCCTTATCTGCGTTCAAGTATTTACCTTTGATTCCCCAAGGGTTTCTGCCTGTAATGAACGACGGGGAGCTTGATTTTTCGAACCAGGAAGTATTTTCCGGGAATAATATGGGTGATATTCCAAGCAGTTGTTCAATGGATAGTTTTTTCGATGAATTACTCAATGATTCTCATGCTTGTACCCACACACATACGTGCAACCCATCTGGTCCTGATAATTCCCATACGCATACTTGTTTCCATGTTCATACCAAAATTGTGCCTGCCTCAACTGAAGACAAGACTACTAGTGATGACACTGCTGGGTCTAAAGAGAAATCGAAGAAACGTCCTCTGGGTAATCGTGAAGCTGTCAGGAAGTATAGGGAAAAGGTTAAGGTACGAGCCGCCTCGTTGGAGGATGAGGTTATGAGATTGAGGGCAGTGAACCAGCAGCTGTTGAAGAGATTGCAAGGTCAGGCTGCGTTGGAGGCTGAGGTTGCAAGGCTCAAGTGTTTGCTTGTGGATATCCGAGGAAGAATTGAAGGGGAGATTGGATCGTTTCCGTATCAAACGTCAGCCACTACTGTTAACCCGATCAACGTTCCTGGTGCTTATGTGATACATCCTTGCAATGTACAATGCAACGATCAGATGTATTGCCCTCATCCTGGAGTTGAAGGTAGAGCAGGAGAAGATGCAGCGCTGAATGGACAAGGATTTAATGGGTGTGACATTGACAACTATCAGTGTTTTGCTAACCATAACTCCGGACCAGAGGAGCTTTCTACAGATGGGGTTGGAAGTGCACGGTCCAAAGGCAATTCTTCTGGCAATAAAAGGAGGAAAGGTAAAATTTAAAATTTCTTAATATAATTTATGATGAATACTGGAAAGTTAGTTTCTCTTAATTTATTTTATCTTCTGTAACTATTATATTGGTTGTAGTTATTTGCTTATATAGTTGTGGCTTGGAACTTCCAATCCAAAATTTTAATCTTCTAGGTATTTTTTTGCTCAAGTTGTTATTCTTGTATCTGGTCCGGGGTTCATGGCTGCTATAAGGAGTATTTTTCTTGCTATGTTGAAGTTATTATTTGCTGTAAATATATAGTTCGTTTGTTGTTCTAAGCATGTCAACCATATGGTAATTCTGGTTGATAATGACATCAATTATTAGATTTTAGAATGATTAATAAAGGAATGAAAGAATATTTGCTTGAGATATGAGGACCAAAATAACTTATGGAACATTATTTGAATATTTAGGGGTTGTTTTATAGCTGCAGGAGTTGTTCGAAGCTGAAAATGATGGTGACTGTTATATGTTTTAAAGAAAAGTAGCATATTTGTTGTTGAATGTATGAAACGCCCAGATCCTTGTGGTGCACGAGCCTTAAAAGATGTTAGAATTTGTTCTTGCAAAATTCCAAATATTATGAGCTGTATTGACTGTTTCCAAACTGATTCTTGTTACATGCAATGTGTAGCACTCTGTTTTTGAGTATATTTTGGCTATGATACTGATATTTGTTTCCTTGGTAGGAGTTCGCCCAGCTACAGCGGGTTGAAAAACTGTTGAGATGAGAATTATCAAGTCTGTGGAGTACTATATTTGTCTTCCAACGAGCAGTTTTCTTGGGATGCAGCACCTTCTTCCCTCAGGATGCATTGCTTTTTTTAGTTTTCCTTTTATCATTTTCTGCTGTCATTTTAACCCTACTAATGGGTCACTAGAGGTGTGCTGTGGTCTTAGTTTTATGTCCATGGAAGATAAATATTTGTCTTCCAAAAAGCTGTTTCCATGGGATGCATCACCTTCTTCCCTCAGGTTGCATTGCTTTTTTATTATCTTTTTCATTGTCTGCTCATTTTTTTGGTTTTTTAAACCTACTTATGGGCTGTTAGAGGTTGGTTGATGGTCTTCTTAGTTTATGGTTTGAAGCAGACAGACTTGTAAAGCTCGAACTATGGATTTTTATACCTCGTATCATTTTCAAGCATTGACCGACAATCTGATTTCTTAGCAAGCTAAATTCAGCTGAATAAAAGGCCTTATCTCATCTTCTTACTCACCTTGCTTGAAGATTCATTGGTAACTACTGTCAATGACGCTATTCTTTGCTGATTTCCTTAAATTTATTGGTGCTTTCTGTTGTGTGGAGTGGCGTTTTTTGTTTTTGCCCCCTAGTGGGTTCTTTTATTGCTGAATTACAGAACGAGGGAAGATGGAATATCTTTGATGTTTCAGTCCTGTGATCCCCTAGTGGGTGTTTTCAGCTTCCAGTCACTGTAGATGTAGCATGTGATTCGCATGGGAGGCTGCAGGTTGGCTTGCATCGCTTTCAGCCATTCCTATTCTGGTTTTGTATGGCATCGAAAGCTTGCTTTTGCCATAAGCATCCTGTTTAGGAAGGCTGCAAGATGCATACTCGAGGTACGCATATGGACTACATTTAAAACAGAATGGAAAGGAAAATGTGATTAACAAATATCAAATTGTAGTTGGTTAACTTGGTTTTGTGGAGTCAATAACCATTAGATCCTGAATCTCGTTCTAAATCCTTGTTCATTGCTATCAGGTAAGACCCTGATCTTTATTACTATTTTTTATTGAGGAAGTCAGTTCATCTTCATGCTGTAGATTTACTCGGTACTCTTGTTCTTTGAGTCGCGTAGCGTTAATACCGGCGTCAGGCTGGTTCCCAAGCAGCCATCGTATACTAGCTTTACAGCAGATATAGTTAAACTGGCCTTTGATACGTATATAGTTTAAGAATCTGCAATAACATCGGTGTCTCAAGTCGTTTAGACGCTTCAATTGCGGGTGACGAGAGTCCCGGTTTAAGCCTACTTGACTCAATTTTCTTTGGTGATAAACTAGTAAAAACATTATTCCTCGAAGTCCAAGGAAAGAGTATCGGTTGCTGGGCACTTGTTGGTAAAAACATTATCCCTTTCTGTTTTGTCATTTAGAGTCTACTCTGGATTAGTAATTTTCAACAAAACCGATCAACTCTCTTTTCGTAAGGGTGTAAATGAATTTAACGTTCGGTGAACTGTTGGTAAATCGTTCGATTAAAGCTCGTTTATGTTCGTTTATTAAGGTAAATAAACGAACATGAATATGATTATGTTCGGTTCGTTTATGTTCATGAATAAGCTCGTTTATCTTTTTACATTTTAAATATTGGTGAATATATATACTAAATTGAATATATAATAAAATTTGAAGTTTAAAATATGAATCCTGATTAGTTTAAGCACCAGTGGCGTAATTTCACAATTTCCCCCTATTACAACAGAAAAAACCCTTTCCCTTCTAGGGAAAGGCTTTCACAGTTTCACTCTTTTTCTAATTTCAGCCGCGGTCTCTCTTCCCCTCCCCCTTTTTCATAAACTTTTTCAACCATAAACCTTGTTAACACCGTGCTCTACACCATCGATGTGTTTGTGCTCCTCGCCTCGTCCCAATCATAACGGTAGTTCTATACATGTCAGTCGTTTTCATTTACTTGCTTTACAAATACAAATCCATGTTTTTATTTTACTTTCATCTCTTGATTTTTGTGTTGGAATTTTCTGTGGATTAATATTTAGTTTTAGTTTCATGATTACTGGATCTATGATCTGGGACTTGGTTGATAGTATTTTAAGAGTTTTATTTTGCAGATAGATCCAAATGAACCTTGATTTGGCTTGTTGTTGGCTGCTTTGAAGACTATTATGAGTAATGGAGATTCTGTTGTTAGTCTCTAATTTTATTTTGTTGGTTAGATTCAAAGGATTTCTCTAGACTATTATACGACTAATGGAGATTTGGGATATTAAAGTTTTGCTGCTATTTGACTAGAAATTATTGACAGCTTTGATAATTTGATTTCATCGTGTACAATGAAAATTTTCACTATATATTGACTATTTTTATTTAATGCTTGTGTTGTTATATAAACGAACACGAACGCTAAATGAATATGCTTACGAACGTCAAATGAACATGTTCACGAACGCTAAACAAACATGTTATCAAACAATTAAACGAGCATGTTCACAAACGTTAAACAAACGAATACGAACATTATTAAAAACAAATGAATGAGAACGATATTTAAAATTTAAACGAGCGTGAACCGAACATGAGCACCTTAAAATATAAACGAACAAATATGAATATATATATGTATTCGTTCAAACTCAGCCTAGTCAAACGTCAGAAAGGAGAAAAACATGGCACCCCTCATGACTAGGAAAAGAAAATAAATAAAAGAAGGGTCAGGGTCAATTCTTTGTTGGTGGCTAAGTTATAATGGTGGAAGTCAGACTTAGAAAAATAAAAAGCAGATCTTGCTTGCTTTAAAGAAACGTTACGAACCCATTGATGGGGAGATCCAAACAAAAGATGACGAGGCTTTGGTTCAATTTTTCTACACCAACGAATAAGGGGTGAAAGTGGTACGTACATGTCATCCATGAGATCGTTGGTGAGATTTAGATTGACTATTACAAATACAATAAGATTAAATTATATCAAATCAAAATACAAAGATTCAAACTCAAATTTTAACGTCATGGACTAAAACTACAGTTTCTCCATGAAGATAACATGTGTAAATATCAGCTATTTATATCCTAGAATTAAGCGTCATAAACCGACAGACTGAAAGTGTATATATATATATATATATATATATATATGCACAGTCAGTCAAAGCAGCACGAGAAACTCAATGCGAAGCGAAGCAAAGCACAGACATATATATATATATACATGTATATGTATGGCTTTCGTGAAGAGCGTTGAAAAGGATGACAGACTGCCCAAACCGAGACACAACCATTAAAGAAAACACTACAGTCTACAGTAGACATGAGTTGCGTGTGTCGGTAGAGAGAAACCTGACATATTGCAACTCTTTCCCTTGTTTCTTAGTTCTGTAACGTGATGATGATGATGATCGATGTTTCAAGAGATCGAGCAATGGGAAGTGGGAACCCTAGTTTTTAATTGTTACGAGTAGTGTTATTTATTGTATTCATGAGTTGCAGAATGCATGACTCAGAACCCTAAGAAAAGAGACATTATCGTATATCTGGGTGGAATTAGCTTTTATCTTTGAGGTGAAAACTCACAAAAATGGAAAATAAGTGTGAAAGGATATAAGAATAGTGGTTTGTGATCATGCTTCATTCAAGGGTTTTTTTCCAATTCGTTTTCAACAAGTTAATTATTGCTTTCGTGTACTGGTTTTCAATTACGCTAGAAATTAGACCTCTGCATGTTTCATACTGACCACGACTTTCGCAATGCATGCATGGCGCAAGTTTAGCATCCCTGCCGTTCATATTGCTAATTTTCATTTCATAATATTTGTCACATTTAACACTGCTTGCATGTGTGCTTATAATCCCGAGATGCATACAGTAATTCGGCGATTTAAATCCGTAAAATGATTCTCCTTTGAAAATTTAAAACTTTTATTTATTTTAAATATCTTATTTATATTTATTATTCAAAATCTATTTTTATCTCTTAAATTTTTATAAATTTATTCTACAAGTAAAATTTTATTTGTGCCTCTATTCTAGATTTATGTCCCACCATGAGTAGACCTTCATTTGGTTTCATGCCTAAATCGTGATTGCTTGTGACAATTGAACAATGGGTGCGGTCATGATTTTGAATATGCCATTGAAGTCTGAAATTGTGAGCAATATGGGAAAGCTGGTTCACAAGATACGACTTTAATAAATGCAAAGGGTGACGGTGGGTCACACGAGGATGGGACCTTACACCCCCTCGGCTACGGTGCAGGTACAGCCTCCGTGGTCCAACAAAACAATTCCCTTCAAACTTTACCCCTTTCATGCATGAGTTAATGATAAAGTAATTTCATATTAATATTTAAATAATTAAATTTTAAATGTTTTAAAATTTAAATATAATTTAGAGATATTTGACATAATTAGCTTTAATATATATTATATAATCTTAGTTGAGTTATCTTGAATTGGATTTTAGTTATTAGTTGAGATTTGAGTTTGGTCAGCAGTTAGAATGGATTTGAAGAATTAGGTTGAGAACATAAAATGGAATTTGAATTAAACAAAGAAATTAAAACTTGTAATCATTAATAAAATTAATTAATGTTTTAATTAATGTGGAAGTGAATAAAATCCCTTAATCCAGGGGGATTCTGTCAATGCATGCCTAATTAAGGCACGTAGAAAAAACAAGCCCACCTGCCCTATTGAAAATGTTTTGGCGCTATTCATGCGTTTCCAAGCAATGAATGCTAAATGCAATTTTAGCAATAAAAATACGTCAAACTTTGTAACTAGTATATAAATTGTATATAAATTAGGGTAAGCTACACCAAATATTACTTAACTTTAAGCGGCATACCATTTATGTTATTAAACTTTCAATTTTCTTAATTGTAGTAATGAACTTTGATTTTGACTTTAATTATGTCACTGACCCATTAAATTTTAACGGCACGATGACGTTGACAGATCTTTCTGTCACTATAATGATATGAACAAAACGACATTGTTTTGATGACTACTATTAGTGTTCAAAACAATGTCGTTTTAGGCATTGAACTTTTAGGATGTGTCGATCCCGTCACTGAACTATTAAACGGTTCACTTCTTGTCACTGCACTTTTTCGACCACTGCCAGCAAACAATCATTGCCAGTCATCGGTCGTCTTTTGGGGCAAGTTTGGTATCAATACGTTCGCATTTCACTTATCTTTCTTCTCGTATGATTGATTTTTGAGTGGGTTTCGTGACAAATCAATCCTAAGAGAAGAAACAGGAGTGATGTGTGAACGTTTTGATATTGATATTGCTATGAAAGACGACTAGTGAAGGATGGTGATTGGCTCTCGGTGGTGTGAACAATGCAGTGGCAAAAATTGAACTATTTGAAAATTAAATGACAAAATCAATATATCCATGAAGTTTAGTGTCTAAAAGGATGTCATTTTAGACATCAATAGCCGACAAAAATGATTTTGTTTTGTCCATTTCATCACACAGTTTAAATTTTACCGATCGAGTCGTATAATTGAAGTTAAAATTTAAACTGAATGTTATAATTGAAGAAATTAAAATTTTCGTGATACAAACGAAACATCACCTAAAATTCAATGATATCTTATATAGTTGACCCTATAAGTTATGATATGTTTAGGTTTGAGAAAGAGTTTGGTCGGAACAAAACATGGGTTTTCATGATTTGTATTCCCCTCTTTCCAAGTTATTTCAGTTGAAAAAAAGAAAACAAAGCAAAACCGTGCTTCCTACACAAGAAACTAAGAAAAAGGCGTTATCAAATTGAAAAGCTTACGCTGATAGCTTCAGCCATAGGCTCTCGACATGCACCACTCCAACACAAGTTCTGAATTGGGGCACTGTGGGAATTGGGTCAATATCACTTTGCCTAAAGCCAACAAGTGTAGTTGGGAAGCTGCACTTGGCACCAAATACCAGATTGAATTGCCTTTTGGTCTTCACATGGTAATGCACCAAAGCATACGGATGAGCAAGGCGAGGGGATTGATTCGAATAGGAATTGGGTTCATGGGGTCTCTCACGGTTGGTGGCTAGCACATGGGAACCACTGGATTTATGTCATTTTAATCTATGACTCAACTTTACCCCATTTCACAAGTTCCTAGTGCCAATCCCCACCACCATATCTGCCCTTTTTCTCTCACGTCGCCATAACTTTCCCCACCACCATATCTACGATTTAATCTTTTGATCGATTAGTTGACGGTGTTAAATCTGCTAAGTTTGTCCATGTGGAGTACTAGAGAGTTATGGGTTTGGAACAATGTTCAACTCACACGCCTTTGATATTTGAATTCCTTTTTTTACAAATAATTCTTCCAGACTATTTGTCTTGTACGTGAAAGTTACCTTCACTTGCCTTGTTTGACAATTTCACCATTTACAAGATGTTGAACTCTGCCATCTTCCTTTAACTCTTTGGACTTTCAAAATTAGACATTCTACTCGTTTGATTTAATATTTTAAATAAGATAGAGATTCAAATCTTGAGACTATAGATGAAACAAATTGAATGGGTAGAGTGTCTATGCGATAGGATTATGTATTATTTAATCAAATTAAACAACTAATAAATCAAATACTAATAATGATATAAAAATAATTGACGCATATAAATGATTTTAAAATACATAATATTCTTTTAACCTATTTGACAATTTTTATTAATTCAAAACGAATTATTTTATATTTAATTTTATGTCATCAATCGAACGGACTAAACTACCATCGATTGTGACCAAACTAATAAAATGTACAACTATGACTGAGCACAACTGATTTTCTTAATTAGATTAAACTATGTATATTAAGAGTGCTTAATGATGGTGCAATGTGAATGACATAGAAAACGAAATCCCCATGACACTGAATTAAGAAAATTCAAAATAAATGTTCATAATTATTAGATTAAACTGTTACAAAATTCTATAAATAAATAAATAAAAATAAAAATATTTGACCGATTCAAGTGTTATAGTTTATTTTTAATTCACCCAATTAGATAAACGAGATCCAGTTTAGAAATTCCTTTCTATGTATAATTTTGATTCAAAGGCAAGCAAAACAGATGCCCTCTGAAATCTCTGACCCGATAGTTTAGTCACAAAATCTGCATGTGTACGTAGTTGTTTAATTAGACAGAAAATTAAGCCAGGAATTAATATTATATAATGTTTACATGTTCATAACTCTCATCTCACCCTTATAAATATAACCCATCACCCTCCACTTTCGTCTTGTTTTCTCTCTCTGTGTCGAAAGGAAAGAGATTTCTGGGGGAACAATAGGGTTTTTCTTTGTTGATTGAAGGTTGAAGAAAATGGCCATACAAGCTGAGTTATATTCTGATAATGTTGGGTTTCCATTGTGTGGTTCCATTGATTCTGCTGGTAATGGTAATGGCGGGTTTAATCTATTCTGTTTCGGCCATCAACAATTACAGCAGCAGCAGCTGCAACATTTACAGCAGTTTCAAATTCAGCAGCCGGGAAATCAAAGTTTCTGTTTTGAAAACAATGATGAATCGATTGATCAGTTCATCAAATCCCAGGTTAGAATTTGAGCGTATGTTTTAATAGCACGAAGCTATTGTCCTATTTTATCATATTTATGATTGAAGTTTTGATTTCTTTTTTCCAGGATGAGAGATTGAGATTGTTACTGCAAGAGCAAAGAAAGCAAAAAGTTTCATTCATGGCGGAAAAGCTAGAGTCAAAGGCAACTCTTTTACTCGGCCAAAAAGACGTAGAGCTCGCGAAAGCAGCAAACAAAACAATGGAACTGCAAAATCTTTTGAAGAAACTGGAGATGGAGAATCAAGCATGGCGAAGAGTGGCGCAAGAGAACGAAGCAATGGTTGTTTCTTTGAACAACACGCTCGAACAATTACAACAACAACAACAAAACCAAGCCGGGTGTTGTTTCGACAATGGAGTCGATGATGCAGAGTCTTGTTGTGGAGAAACAGAGGAAGAGAACAACAGAGGATTTGTCGAAACGAAGAACACATTCATGGTGTGTAAATGTTGCAATTCTCGAAGCTTGTGTGTTTTGTTCCTTCCTTGCAGACATCTTTGTTCATGCAGAGATTGTGCAGCTTTTCTTGATTGTTGCCCTCTTTGTAGTACTGCAAAGAAAGCTAGTATAGAAGCTTTGATTTCTTAATTTTATGATTTATGCATAGTATAGGGACTAATTAAAGAATTTGAATTAAATTTAATTTGAATCAAAGTCAAGCCAAAATTTGTTTATGATCTGTATGAAGTATCAGATTATAATTAGCTTGATTTGATCTTAATTAAATTATTAAGTTTATATTAATTTATGGAAATAACAAGGAAATTTCTATCACCTGCCAATGTACATATCATCGACTCTTAAAGAATTTATAATATATTGATATGCGCTGCAAACTGTGTTCTATCAACTTGCATCAAACAAGTTAAGCAGCCATAAATATTTTATTCAAGTATGATTGAATATATAATTTTTAAATTATTTTAATAATAATAATATCAGTTGAATCTATCATCTGCCAATGTATCATTATCTTCATGTTTCTCTTTTTAAGTTTAGTCGGATCTTACGTTTCTGTCTATATGCAGAGATTTTTACGTAGGGTTTTACTTGCAGGGAGTACTTCACAGTAAAATCGCGCATATGAAGACTGCATATAAAAACTATTCAACTCTGTATTTCTTTATTAACTTATACATGCATTACATTTTATCTTTATTTTAATTTTTTGACTGCCGGAGATCTTCCACGGAAGTTGCTCTTAATCATGCGTTGGGGGCAGCCTACTACCCTACCTTCCCTTACCCCCATTGCATATGGGAATAGGGTTTTGTTGTTGTTGTTTCCAACTCTTTTATATTTTAGTATGAACATAATAAATTTTCTTTTATCTACTGTCATTTTTCTGGAAATAACTCCTATATGAAATTAATGTTCATTAGAGACTGTATTCAAAAATAAAAAATTGGGTATTGATGATGGCAGTGCCAAGAGGAATTGGTGTAGAGGAGGAAGCCCAAGTCAGTTTGTGACTGGTTCTGGGCACCCTATCCTTGAATGCTTGGCTGCTTATGCCTACAAACATTGTATAGGCCACTACGGTTCCGAGCAAGAACATAAGGAGGAACGCAATACTGGCCAAGCGAGACGGCAACGTAAGTGCTGGCAAAACCATCATTAGGGCGTCTGGCTGTCATCCGTGAAAGAATCCTGCGCCGAAAGTAGCTAAATCGATATTTTTCTTCCCTATTGCTTGGTTTTCGAGTGTTCCGTAAACACTAAGATCACGCTCACAGTTTCCTAAAACACAAAGAGCTGGAACTTCGGGAGCTTCTCTTGTACCCATAGCTCCGATAAGAAGGAATGTTAAGCCCACCGCACTTGTACCCCAAGTCTCGATAACTTCCCCATTGATAGCGGAGCCAAAGCATCATGGCCACAACCCCACGGACCTCCAACAACAACTGCAAGGTGTATAAACAACACTTTGTTCCATTCCACATTGACTTTCAATCCAAATAAACTGCAAATTTTGTTGAATGTGATATAATCCATAACAACACAATGCATGACATGATAGGGTTGTGCACGGTGAATGACACCCGTTCATAATTTTATCCTCAAACTATTCGACAATAAATGTATCGATAGAATTGAAAATCTCAAATTATTAACACCGTGGCTAAATTATTTTATCATCTAGTAGGAGTGGCTTTGTTGGATGCCAGGCTAATGCCTCTGAATTGAGCCCTACCCAGAGATGATTAGCTCTCACATGGTCTTGCTGTAAACCCTTCTTTCTTTCTCTTCCATGAAAAAGCCATAGCTTACTCTTCTGAGCTCACCCACCAGCCACAACGATATGTATATGTTGTTAATAATTAAAAATATTATAAATAAATATTATTTTTTAATAATCTAAAATATTAAAAAAATAAACATATTTGAAAGATATGAATAAGATATAAATGTTAACTTATTATATAAATTATTTGAATTCGACATATTAAAAAGATTAATTTTAATATAATTTAAAAGAATTATTTTTTTAATAAATCAAATCTAAAATATTCATATAATAGAATCATATATTTCAAATTCAATCTACATATTTTAAATATATCTTATGTTGTATTTATCGTTTAAATTAACGAAAAAATTGATGGAAGAATTTGATTATACAATACCGATATTTAAAGGAATAGCTTAGAATGATTTAAGTTTAGAGATTAATTTAGAATATAAATTATAGTGCGAGGATTTAAAGTACCATTAAACCTATAAAGGCACCATTTCCCCTACCCTCAGACCATTTTAAAAGGCTCTGAGCTGAGAGTGTGTATTCAGGTACACACAGAAACGACACAAGGGGAGGATTTTTGTCTCTGTTTTCTCAAGAAAAAGAAAAAAAAAATGTCAAAGGAAGTGAGTGAAGAAGGACAGGGCCGAAAGGACTACGTGGACCCTCCACCGGCACCGCTTATCGACACGGAAGAGCTAAGGCTCTGGTCTTTCTACAGAGCCCTAATAGCCGAGTTCATAGCCACTCTCCTCTTCCTCTATATCACAGTAGCCACCGTAATCGGTCACAAGAAACAACATGATGCATGCAACGGAGTCGGTCTATTGGGCATTGCATGGGCCTTCGGTGGCATGATATTCATCCTCGTTTACTGCACCGCCGGTATCTCAGGTAAATCAAAAAACTTTTTTTTAAATCGAAAGGAAAAAAGAACAAGAACACAGTTTTTAATATTCTGGCTTGTTTTGGTTACCAGGTGGTCACATAAACCCGGCAGTGACTTTCGGGTTGTTTCTGGCCCGGAAGGTGTCTTTAATGAGAGCTGTTGCATACATGGTATCTCAATGCTTGGGAGCAATCTGTGGTGTTGGACTCGTTAAAGCTTTCATGAAACACGAGTACAACTCGCTCGGCGGTGGAGCTAACTCGGTGGCTTCGGGTTACAACAAGGGAACCGCTTTGGGAGCCGAGATTATCGGCACTTTCGTGCTTGTTTACACTGTGTTCTCCGCCACTGATCCTAAGAGAAACGCCCGTGACTCCCATGTACCGTTGTTGGCTCCGCTTCCTATTGGGTTTGCAGTTTTCATGGTTCACTTGGCTACCATCCCCATCACCGGCACCGGCATAAACCCGGCTAGGAGCTTCGGTGCTGCTGTTATTTATAACAACGATAAAGCCTGGGATGACCATGTAAGCTTTTTATTAAAAACATTTTTTACCAATTAAGTTTATGATATGAACTCATCTTCTGGTGAATGGACAGTGGATTTTCTGGGTCGGCCCATTTGTTGGAGCTGTGGTAGCGGTTGCTTACCATCAGTACATTCTTCGAGCTGCTGCAATCAAGGCTTTGGGATCCTTTCGAAGCAATCCCACCAACTAAAGAAAAAAGGGAAAACCAAGATGGCTTTTGCCTTCATTGTTTCCTTCTTTCTTTTGAGTGTTAGCGCAGAGGATGTTTATGATCATCCCTTTCTTTCTCATGTCAAATATGTTGTTGTTGTTAGCATTTTGTCTTGTGTGTGTCATTGTTCTTGAGTTGGTTTTCTTAATGTGTTGTGCTTACAACTTTTTTTAACCTTTGTCTTGATGAGGTAATTGTGAATGCCTACAATGAATTTGGAAATTCGATTCGATTAATCAAAATTAAAAATTAATTTAACATAATTTAATAGTAAAAAGTTAATAATGTATACATAGTATAGGGACTAAATACATAATTGTACCCACTTCTAAGGGTGGGAAGAAAAGGACCAATCCAATCAAAGAAGCCCCACTCCCAATATGGAAAGCTGGGCTTCAAAATCGAAAACTGGGACTGCCCTTCGTTTGTACTCTTTTTTAACCAACCTTTCTGGAAAGGCTCCCTTATCAATGGTTCCCTCTTTACTTTAGGCCAGTGGTTCATCCAGAGGGCACTAAACCAAAACCGAAAAGAAAAAACAAAGCAATTCGAGGACCCTACAACGGGTTCATGGCATTATCCTATGGGGGTCAGATGTCATGGTTTCACATGGTGTGGGGTAAGAGCCACAAGACTAAGGGGAGACCCATTAGGGGTCTCTGCCCTTTTTAGCCTATCAACATCGGCCTACCCCACGAAGGATAAAAGCCGAAACACAGACGACTTTGAATGTACAGAATTAGTTTTCCTCAGAACCAGCAATTTTGCAGGGGTTCGTAGTGTCGTCTTTAAACGAAAGGTAGGTGTCCATTTGTTTTAAATTATAAAGTGTAAACATACATTTTAAGTTCAATTTGATATTTAAATTTAATTTTGTGATTCAAATTAGTTCAAATTATGTATCACACGTCCTCAAATTATGATTTCGTATTATATCAGTCCTCAGAATTTTGAAAATTTCAAATTTATCCTCAAATTACGGCTCTCATGCGAAATTGGTCTTTAAACTTTTGAATTTAAATTTTATCTCATACTATTTGTATATGCTAATCACATTCCATGTCAATAAACTGTTAAAAATTGTTAAATATAAATACAAACGTGTATTATGTAATAATCAATGTTGTATCATATTTCCTGAAATTATTATTTAAAATAAAATCAAAAAGTTTTTTTATTTATAATTTTGTTCTCTCAATTTGTTTACAATTCCTTTTACTTTTTAAAGTTAAATTATTGTTTTATTTAAATGTAACATTAGTTATAGTTTATGACACGTCATATTACTACATAATACACATTAGTGTTTATATGGCAGTTAAAATTGTGTATAATTATTTTACTAAGAAGGGACATGATTAACATATACTGATAATTTGGGAATGAGTGTCATAGTTAGAAAATGATATTAGAATGTCCAAAAGTCTAAAATCAATTTAAAATGTGAATCATAGTTTAAGGATAAAATTTGAACGTTCAAAAATTTAAAGACCAATTTACAATGAGAAATATAATTAAAAAACATATGATGCAATTAATTCATTTAGTTGAAATAAATCTGTTGCACCTTAAATACCAATTTAAAAAATTCAAATCCAAATTCAACCTGAAAATCAAATTCAGTATTTAATTGAATAAAAAATAAATATCAAATTACAACTTAAAACCAAATTCAAGTACGAAAATATATATTTATCCAAATTTGGGCTTAAACGCAGCCTGATGACTGCACCAATGGCCTTAGAGCGTTCTACCGTCGTGGGATGGTCCACCGCCCCCCCAAGGGTTGGATCACGAGGGATGCAAAGTCTTGCAGTTTAAACTTTGTTTGAGAGTATAAATTACAGAAGACGTCCTCGAATTCAAATCAAGATTTTTAAATTGATCCTAAATTTTAAAGTGAAAATATCATATCAATTGATGCATAATCATGTAACAAAGAATGACGAGATAATAAACCTAAATTTAACAAAAAAAGAATTAAACGATACTAACAATTGAATTGAATTTTTAAATTCAAAAAAATAGTGGAATTAAAATAAGGGACTAACTTCCATATGTAGGAAGAGTGCAGGGCTAATAATGTAGATAAATACACCTAAGATGTAAATAAACAAACGCGCGGCTCAACACTTCTTGGCAGTTCAATTATTGAAGAAAAGCCCCTATTATCACACACACAGCCTATTACCAAATTTGCTCTACACACAGCTACTTGCATGACACTATATTCAACAATCAACCAAAAGGTATTAAACATATCAAGTCTTGCTTATCAAACACCATCACAAGAGCTCATCTGCCAGAGATTTTCCCTCGAATTTATCCATGATGGACGCTATGTTCAAAATGGTTTTGTCCAATTCGGAACACTGATGCTCGATCTCATCTAAACGAGCCTTGGTTTCCGTGACTTGTTCCCGTGCAATGGCTGCCTCTTTTTCTTTTTGAGCCAGGTCGTCCATTTTCAGTTCGAGTTCTTTCTTTACCGATTCTAAAGATTGGCTGTGCTTGGCCTTTTTGACTTCGAAAGTTGGGCGTTTACTAACGAGCTCCATGCCTTCCGAGATTTCATTGAGTAGACCACGCAGCCAATTGACATCGATGCCTGCAGATTCTACGTCCTTGAGAACAGCAAACATCTCTTTTATTTTTGCTTTGGTCAGTTGATTGAACGGAGTGGAATCTAGCTCTTGAACTACAGCACACAAGCATTCCAAATAATAAGCACGCATCGAAGCTGATTCCAAATGACAATTAGCTGCTATGTCTCCGTACTTGTTGAAAATCGACTGCAGAATTATGGAGATGCTTGCTTTCACATGGTATTTTCCAACCGATACACAGGAATCGGATATAACAGATTCAACCTCTTCCTCCTCGTCGCTCTCTTCTTGAGCTTGGCCAATCCCTAAGAAACTAAAGGCTGAGCTAAGGGCATCTCTTGCATCCTTCGTATTTGTATCTGAACTTATCTTGGGGGAATCTTGTACCTTCTCTCGTTTAACTTTGGTTGGTGCATCAGCAGGGGACTGTAAGAGAAAAACGGCATAAGAGAGGATTACACTGATACGAAACCGAGAATAACCAATGCTTGCGTACGCAAGTGTGTGATAGTGCGAGTTTTCCCGTGAGACAGTAAATGACCTACCATGAGTTTTCCGGACATCTGCAAAGGTTGAGAGTATTGAATTGGTGCCTTCTCAAATGATTGATCTTGGGAATATATCTCTTCGGAGTGTTGCTCAGAAGAAGAAAATGACTCACCCTTCTCCGCTTCCATCTTCTTCCTAGAAAAATGAGACCGAGGAGACCTAAGATCACCGGGGTAAACTGCACCTGCTGCATGGGGGCTTTCAAGTGCTTGATGGGACTTTGGCAGAGATTCGGACTTCTTTTTCCTACCAAAGCTTCTCGAGACGTCAAGAAATTTTGAACCTAGAATAATAATAACTGCAGTCAGGAACATGAAAACATTGTCTGCACCTTAAAAGAAACATCAATTTCGAGGAGACTCCATCGATGTTACTGAACATGCTCGTTCTCCAGGAGACATCTTTCTTATACGAACATACCATAAATCATTGACCTTTTTCAATAAATAAAAGTTTAGGTCAGGGGAAGCTAACCCAGTCCAAGGCATGCTCCAAGCCCTCAGAGAGGGCTAATAGTAATGAAATTCGAACTTTGGTTCTTGAGATGCGTTAACGAGTACTCAACCAACATGACAGCTAGACCAAATCCTCCTTTAGACAGATGATGCATCGGTTTTCAGACCAACAAGTTTCACAAATAAACTTCTACTAGTTTACTTAAACCATTGACTAGATTCTAGTCATCAACCTTGAATCAATTGCAGTGAATGAAACGATAGCACACTAAGCTTAAGGATGTGAAATCGACAGAGATTTAGCCATAGAATTGAACAAACAATGACCATTAAATGCCGGAAATAAAGCAACTAAGGAAGGGATTTGATTACTTAATGTCTTTTTCTCCTTTGCCTTTGTTCCTTTCCCTTCAGCAACCTTCTCTAAGCAGAGGACACCACATTCATGGTATGGATTTGCAGCATTAGGACACTCTGGGTGAACTCTTCCATTCCCATCCATGGCCTTTACCTTTGTAGAACACATAAATTAAAGTTAAAACACAAAATTCACATGCAATTGAAATAGTGAAGCACAAAGATACTCGCTTGCTATTATCAGAATCAATCATTATGATTTCTTCAAATTATATTAATAATCTATCAATTACAAAGAGAGAAAATAGATCTGTTACGTCTCAATAGAAAAAACATGAAAATTCTGACCCAAGAATTCATGTCAAGGGGAGCACAAAGAACCAAAAACTAGAAGAATAAAACCCAGAAAACTAAAGTTGTTAGATATCAACTTTCTTTCATGTTTTCCTACACTTTCCATCCTTCCAAACAGAGGATGTTCATATTAATTCCAAAATATAATCTTTTGTAAACAAAAAAGGATAAGCACATGCAGAAACCCACGGCAGATACGAGTATATGCAGTAGTAAATAAGCGAAGAACAATTTGAGAAAGAAAGGAAGGGGGGAAGAATACCAGAAAGGAAGCTAGCTTGAGATAAACACAGAAACAGAAAGAGAATCCAAAGGAAATTGTTTCTCCCGTGGACAAAATTTTATTGTTCAAACTTCTGTCTGAAAGTTTGACTTGAGTAATGGGATATGTCTGAAAACCGAATTAAAAAAAGAAAAAAAAATTCTTTTGTAGTAGTTTGACCGTCACCTACACATTCAGAACTTTCAGGTTCTGTAATTTCACAAAACAAGCACGAAAATGACAGCATAATTAAACTATATTGCAAATCTGAAAACTATAAGGATTGAGAGCATAATTAAACACTAAAGTGCTATTTTATTCTTTAATTTTTAATATTTGTTAGGTGTGTTGGCATGGCAGCCAAAATTTTGTAGTTCAACCAGACAGTTTTTATTCGTTATTTGAGTATTAATGTTATTATTTTGATTCTTTATATATTAATATATCCTCATAAGTAAATATTTAATTGTTTAATTAGAGAATAGTCAGAAAGGGTGGCGTTGTTGCTTGATACGTAAGACAAAACACGGCGTGGAATCCGGAGGGAATATTGCTGCTTTTATTGCATTCATTATTTTAAGTTATATTTTGTCATAATATTTATAAATAAAAAACTACGTAAAAAATTGGTATCTATAGAATATTAATTATGAAATATGAGTAATTTAATAGTTTTTAATTGATTTGGTATTCTTTGATGGATGATAAAAATTTAACTAGAGAATATTTTATCCACATTGATCATTTATTTTATTAATGTGATAGTTTATTGGTGATAAAGATTCATTTGGGTAAAATTCTTAATTAAAGAGATTAACTAATTTTGTTCATAATTTTTTTGAATTATTTGATGATTTAATATATAAGATAAAATAATATAATATTAGTAAAATCATTCACGTGAATTCTTAAATGTACAAAAACTGCTAATATTATTCATTAGCGACTGCTAATCAACGTTGATAAAAATGATATTTTAAATGATATTTAACAGTTAAAGGGTTGGTTTTTTTAATTAATTACTGGTATCTGATCTATTGAACGACTAATCTAGATCGGGTACTGTAGAGGCGAGGACGACCCTCCCAACCCAGTTTGCTCCGTTCGCAAACGCCAGGATTCGAAATCCGACCTTGCTTAAAGGACCTAGTACCTCATCCCACTAGACCAACTGGTTGTTGGTTATGGTTGTTTTAATATAAAATATCGAAAGAATTTAATTATTTTTAAAAAAAGAAGTTTAAAGGATTTCTTTACCAATAAGCTATTTTTCTTAACAAAGTAGAATGAAAGTAAATCCCGTCGAATCTGGTAGGTTTGGTCCATATCAATGTAATATAATTAAAAAATATAATATCTTTAAACAATTACTTGAAAAGCCTCGTCTTGGCTAATGAAAATTGTTAATTAAGCATGGATTCAACTGACCTCATAATGAACAATGATGGTTTTCTAGAATAAGAGCCGAGTGGATATTTTCTCACCTTTATTATGTTTAAAGAAAATTATTTGATATATATATATATATCGTATAAGTTTTAGTTTTAGTATAGAAAAGTTATGCAACATTTGGATCAGCACGGTTGATGATGACTATCATTAAATTAATTTAGAAAATGTTAAATTATAAAATATTAAATGTATAATTATAAATTAGTTAGAAATTTAAATGTAATTTAACTAAAATACAATATTTATAAAATATTAGTTTTTAGGATAAATTATATTATTGACCACCTAACTATTTATTCCTTTTACTTTAACTATCGATTTTTTAATTTTATCAATCAAGTCACCTAACTATTTAAATTTTATCATTTAAATCACCTTTCGTTAAAATTAACATATAAAATAACGTGACGGTTAATAAAATTTGTATAATAAAAGTTTATTTTAACATAATTTAATTGCCTCTAATATATTTTACCCTTATTAATATTCAAATTGCAAAGGTCATGTATGACTCAAAGATGTTGACTTTTTATCCAAAAGGTAAAAGGCGTCTACGTTACAGCCACGTATGGACCACACAAAGCGGAAAATCAAAAGGAATAAATAGACTACGAGCCGAGCTGACGACTTTGAAAATTAAAGCATGGACTTGGAAATTTCAATTTTCCTTCGTTAAAAAATTGAAGGAAAAAAAAAAGGAATCCAGCAATCATCCATAGACACATCAATCAGTTTATACTGTTCTCAAATTACAATAATTAAATGCTTGAAATAATATTATTTTTATGACTGAATCTATATTTTGTCATCAATTCGACCGTATGTAATATCTAGATTTATTTTAACATAAATTCAAATATATTTTAATCTGAATATTTTTTATAATGATTAATTTTATTTTCGTATCATGTTGGAAATTATAAAAAGAAAATGGAATCTTGTTTTAAATGAAGAATTTTGGGGACGAAAACTGGGCAGTTGAAAGGTTGGTGGTCGGCTAAATTGACGTGGAGTTCTCAATTATTTTGGAGTTTACCCTACTTCGAATTTATTATTAATTAAATTGAGATTGTCCTCTCTATAATAAAATAAAGAGACGTAAATCGTCATTATTATTATTTAAAATGTCACAAAACACATATATAAGAACAATCATAATTATAATTAAAGTTAATTTAATAGTTATTATAGTTATAAAATAGTATTTGTTTAGATTTTTTTTATTCATCGACAATATATATATCTGCAAACGAAACTGTTTGAATCTAGAATATCTAGGGTGAATAACATCCGCTTTAACCATTGAAACAACTCGATGAATTTAATTATAATTATAATTATAATTAAACATTATAATGCACGATCAACTTAATAATTGAAATTAAGATAATGTCCATGCATTATTACATTATATGATTTGAAGTCTTAAATTAATATAAAATTATATTTGAATTAAACTCGCACATGATATATACATATTATAAATTTTAAGAAAAATAATTGTTATTAGAAATTGAATATAAACATATAATAAAAATTATGTTTCAGAAAGTAACATGTAATTAATTAAATAATTTAAGAAAAAAGATAAATAGTTTTATATGCCTGTTTTAATAGTTATTAGTTTATTTTCTATACGTTCATTTTGTTTATGGTATATTATAACCTAAAAAGTCCATTTAAATATAATTTAAGGTTTAAATTTTAATTTTGTGTGTAAAGTAGACCATATTGAAAAAATTATTATATTATAAATTTTTATGATATGGTTTTAATTAATCAATGAATATATCAAATAGTGATGATTATAATATATATTATAACTTAAAACACATATAAAATAATAGAGTAAAAAAATTCAGGAAAAAAATATTATCCACTAATAATTTGAAAACGATGGCATTTATAAATTATTGTTATTTGACAAATTAATTGTCATCCTTAGGGCCTATAGTATTGGGACCAAAAATGTCTTTATTTAGAATTAATTGTGTAAATATTATAACATTGGACCAAAAATATATTTATTTGGAATTAATTGAGTTAATAATTTTAAAATTATATATATTTCTCTAAATATAATTGAAGTATTTATTAAAAATTAAAACACAATTTCCCTCGAAATCTAACATTTCTTTGAAAATATAAGATGCCACGAATCAAACAGCCTTAGAGATGGGAGGTCCAGTTGTGGAGAGGTTAAAATATAGTTAAAAAATGGCGTGATTGGTTAAATAGATGACCAGTTAAAAAAGCTATCGAAAATATTATTTGTGTTGATAATAATAATGGTAATAATCAGAAATGGTATCGTTATATGTAAAATGGTAATAAAATATTGACTTTAATAAAATATTATCAACCGTAATAACATAACAGGTTGCGCCTATTTAACGTAATATGTTGCGCCTATTTAAAGCTGATAAGGCTTTAGAAATCCGATGATAACAAAATATGTTGATTGCTTATTTTATTATTAATATTATCAACATATTAGGTATTACTTAAAATATTACCAAAGTTTAAGTGGATATGACCTTAGAAATTCCACGATAACAAAATAATTTAATTATTTATTTTGTTATAAATATTAACAACATATTAGGTTGCAACTAATATGTTGCCAAAGTTTAAGCTGATGGGACATTCGAAATTCCACGACAACAAAATAAGTTAAATATTTATTTTGTTATAAATAAATATTAACATACTAGGTTGCACCCAATAATGTTATTGTAAATAAAGAAGTAGGTTGCGATCTGAAATATTAAAGTTGTGTTTAATGAAATCGGTAGCGATTTAATATATTATGTATCTTTGGATGAAAATTATTTTTAAAATAAATATCGATACTACTATGATCTGATGGTCGATACTTTATCAAATATCAATATTTTTTTCTATGATGTTCAATATTTTATCATTTTAGAAACTTGTTAATTTGAAGAAAAAAATGAAATGTTAAGATCGAAAATTACTTATTTACAAAATTCCATTAAAATATCTTTGTAAAAATATCAATACTTAGTGTAGATATATCGTAACTCTAATAATCTATATCGATACTTAGTGCAAATGTATGGAAATTATTAATATTGATACTTAGTGTATATATATATCAATACATATTCAAGAAAATTATTAATACCGAGTATCGATACTTTAGAATTTTGATAAATGTTATCGAGACTTTAGCATTTGAAAAAGTTGATGAATGTTCAAATATCGATAATTGATATTTTATATATCGATATTTTTGAAAAAGTTGATGAACTACACCCTACATCAACTACAAGTATGGATACTTTCGAATTAAAAAATATTTATAATAATTAAGTTGTAAATATTTTACCATTTACATCATTATTATACCTTTAAACAAACTAGTAAGTAGTTTAACGTAATACGTAATACCTATTTTATTTTAACTGGTTACATTATTATTATACATTTAAACAAACCGGTTGGTAGTTTAACATAATATGTAGCGTATGTTTTATTTTAACCGGTTAAGTTATGAATATTTTACCGTTTACATTAATATTATACCTTTAAACAAATCGGCATGTGGTTTAATATAATAGGTATCGCCTATTTTATTTTAACCGGTTACATTATTATTGTACATTTAAATGAACCGGTAGTTAGTTTAAAGTAATAGGC